AATACTTCTCTTTTTTTTATAAATGGAAAGCTTCATGTTCTTTAAGAAAAGCTCAATTATTAATTTCTTGGAAGTATGAATAAGAGCATAAAAGAACAACAAATTAATCATAAGTTACATCATGCAGTTCCAAAAAAATAACAATAGGAGAAAAAGGGAAAAAGCAATACTAATAACAATAATAATACCAAAAACAATTGAAAATATGAGTGATGTACACAGAAAGCTAATAAATATAACAGCTCAAATTAAATGTCCTTTTCAATACTCAGTATTCACCCCGTACAAATTGGGAGCACATGAACCCAACAAAAAAGATAATGACACCCATAAAAAGTAAACACTAAAGCTGTGCATGATTTTTTTACCGTGGCTTGTGGCGGCACTTGAGAATCCCGAGGAGCCCACCTGGCCGAGGCTCCCCTCTGGCAGGGTCTCACAGCTCTCGTCAAGAAGGCTGTTATAGTCACCATGCGAACTAACTGTGTCTGAGGCACCTATGGAGCCAGGGATACAGATAAGCAGAAGCAAAACTTTGTATATGATCAAGCAAGCATTTTCTTTTTCTTTAGCTTTGTTCTTTCTCCTTCTCTTATTTGTGAATCAAAATGTTCTGGGGCTTGATCATGCACCAAGTAAGAAACAAAAATTATTCTGCATCAAGAAAAAATAACATACACAAAAGCTACTTTAAAAATGAAGGAAATAAAAAAATCAGTGATTTGTTAGGGCTTATAAGAAGTGTTTTGTTTCTCTACATTCCAATAATGGGTAAAATAAAATTAAAATGAGTTGAAGAGTAACAAATGTTATTAATATTATAAGCATCTATTAATATTATTCTAGCATAAAATATCCTAAAGCACATTTAAAATATATCATGGGAAAAAACAAAAAAATGGTAATAAAACAATATGAAAGATTTTACTTACCATTAGGAACATGTGAATATAATGAACAGCATATAACTTCGGCTATAAAGTTTAACTGAGTACATATTTTGAAATATCATGACAAAATGGAAAACAAGATAAATATCTAATCAATCCAAGGTATTGTTTTCACCAATTAATTATTACAATAATTCACACATTTGCAGGCAATATAACACTGCAGCATCTAGTAGTATATATATGTATAGTATTGTACTGCATCATAGTGTTTCATTTTTTCCATTTGTTTAGTATCAAGATTAAAAACTGATGAAAATATGATTAGACAAAAAGACATTCTGGACCGCACAGGAAAAGAATTGTGGAACCGCCATGTGTCTTTTCATGCATACATATTTTATTGTATCAGTTTAAAATAAATTACATTCATGCTGTTATTATATTCTCGAGTCCCATAGTGGTTATGATAAATAACTCACAATATCATTTTCCGTGGATTTTCTCAGGTAGCTCTATCTCGTGTGCAGAAAAAAAAAGAGAGGATAAAAAAAAGCAAAAGCCAGAATAGCATAATGCCTCACCTGAAGACATTATGTTGTGATCTCTCTCTGTTGAGAAATTATGCTGAGAAATGGAATCCATCACTTCACAAAATGCAGCATCTTGGACACAAAACAGTAGCCCACCTGGAGGGAAATCAAAGTACAATTTACTGGGGATTACTTACATATGTTATGGCAGTTTTTTAAAAGGAATAATATTCATTATAATAGCTGGAAAATATATCAAATCAAATGCTGAGAAGAAAGTTCTAAAACAACAATGTCTTACTAACTCTTTCCTTCTCTCTCTATTTAGACTTCCCAAAAGATGTCTTCATAGTTTATATAGAAATTACCTTAGCTCTGATAATTCTTTCATCCTTACTGAACTTTAATATAGAGACAAATTTTAAAAAATAAAATCAGGTTACCACACTCATCTCCATGGGTAATTAACAATAATGCTATTATATGAATGAAAGTACCAAGTAACATCTGCGTGTTGACAGGATCAGACTCCACTTGCAGTGCATTGGAGAGAAGGTTGACAAGTTGTGGGCGAAGATGTGAGAGTGTTATCCTCTCATTGCTGTTATTGCCAACTTCCTTCACTTGTAGACCCTTAAAGAGAGAGAACATAAAAGTTACTCACTTTCCAATTAGCACCTTCTATACATAACACATACACATAGGATCAGCAACATATTCTACAGAGAAAAGCCATGATAATAAATATTCCTAGTGCTTACCTGGAAATGCAGAGGTAATGGAAGAATGGACAGAAGAATGTGTGTGGCAGCTCGGCGAAGCAGCGTAACGGGCAAGTGACTTGGAGCTCGAAGTTCACCCTCCGGAAGGACACATTCTAACACTCCCAGGACACTTGGCACCAAGCTCACCACACCTTGCAAGTCCAACCGAAAAAGGTCAACCCCATTCACCAATATGCTTGCTGCTGTCTCACTACAAGTCCCAGTCTGAAAGATAACAGATGGTTATTGCAATTCTTCACCAGCTAAATAGTATTTTCTATATTGGTATTTATACTAAAAAATAATCTACATAAATGCCATTCCTCAAAAACCAAACATCTTGTTTTACCCTAACTCCATGACGATTGGACTGGCTGGCATTAGAGTCATGATGGGATGATACAACTGTGCCATCATTCTGACGTAGGCCTTGGTGAAGTGCCAAATAAAAGCGAGCTAAATACACAGGCAGAATCTCTTCTCCAGTCTTCTTCGAGCAAAATATTCTGGAAAAAATTAACATTACAGTCAGTATACATACAAGAAAAAAAATGACCAAACTGCAAAATTATACAACCAGAAGCAAACAATCCTACCTGAAGAGAACCATTCCAGTGACAATGATCCTCCTCTTATTCTTACCTACAAAGAGCACCAAGAGCCTCTGCACGCCCACTCTGGAAATGCTGAGGGGAGAGGTGTGCTAAGCGGTCAGTGTGTGACTCTCCTGGCACAGACGAATCACTAGACTTCCTACTGTTTTCACTCCCAAACACTGATACAGGTCTGCGTGAAGCTGGGCCACTACCTCCACCACCATCAGATTCTGATGGTGATATTAGGACATTACTAAGCATAGTCTTTAGAAAGGGAATACAACGTCATTTAAATTGCAAATGATCATACATTTTAACAATTGGACCAAACAGTACAAAAACTCCTTTACTCACTGTGCTGAGTAACTGGGCTAGCTTGTAAATTGCAATTGATCAATGCTGCTTTCAAACAGCCACGGCCCAAATAAATGCAAAAGGCTATTACACTTTGGCCTTCCACTTGACAAACTACCTCCACCACCATCAGATTCTGATGGTGATATTAGGACATTACTAAGCATAGTCTTTAGAAAGGGAATACAAAGTCATTTAAATTGCAAATGATCATACATTTTAACAATTGGACCAAACAGTACAAAAACTCCTTTACTCACTGTGCTGAGTAACTGGGCTAGCTTGTAAATTGCAATTGATCAATGCTGCTTCAAACAGCCACGGCCCAAATAAATGCAAAAGGCTATTACACTTTGGCCTTCCACTTGACAAAACACGCCCAGCATCATCTGGAATTTGCAACAATAGAAATCCATCTTTTAGAAGAGGCAATAATTAAACAATATTCCTGGAAAACATGATGCATATTTCATTCCACATAAATCTACATGCCCTATTTATCAGTATCATTAACCAATTGGAAGATGTGTAAAAAAAAAAGTACTAAAAAATACACAAGACAACAAAGATCAAGTTGGAAACCACATACTGATATCACACTATAAAATTCATACGGCTAAACACCTGCCTGACTCAATAAGCCTAGAATGAAAACCTACACCCATACTGATGAAATTATTCCACATCAAAAATAATTCTGTTTACAGACCTGATTTACCATCTGAAGAGAGAGACAGGGAGGATGAAGATGACATCTGTCTCCCTTTCTGGTTCAAGTTATCCAGAGAAGTATTTGGAACACCTGTATCAAAGAAATGTCACATTAGGTGTGCAAATATAGGAAAATCAATCATATTTCTTCTGACTTTTGTGGTATTTTAGCAGTATTTAACTCTCTGAAAAAAAAAATGTATATAAAATGACCTTCAATTCTTATTTATCCCTATAAAAAAAAATCACAGAACAACTCAGACTGTTAACAGGTATGTCCCCTGAATACTCACCCAAGAAAGCATCAACCAATCCTGAAACTCCTTTCATTGCTGACAGGAAGATGGAAGGCAGCATCTGTAAACATGGATGCTGGCTGGGCTCTATCACAAGCTCAGATGATATTGCATACTTCAGGAATGCTGGAGTCTTACTGATGACCGTGTGCCTACTGAGATCCACAGGATTCCCTAAATTGAGAAAATTTTGGTTAATCTTTATTACTAGTGTTTTATGCAAGATTACACTCAAAATTTCTCATCAGTGATGAAAAAATATTACATCCTCAACCATTAACTTCTCCAAGGAAAGTGCACATATAATGTTAAGCTGTTGAATCCAGGTGCTTCACATGTGAACCAAAAGCTGGCCATTAGGCTCCCTTGAGTAGCAACCATCCTGGGTGTGTGCATTTTAGGCTCAGACCAAGCACACACTTGCACCATCAAAACTTCTTACTTCCTCTTTGTAGTGCTATTAGCCCTTTTTCTGCAGATGAGGTAAGAACCTCATTTTATGGTCCTCGTTTGTGATATTTTGGTTTAATGTTTTAATTTATTCATAGCTCTTAGCTCTTATATCCAAATGAGCAATTCCAAATTACAGTATTTCTCAGTTAAAGTTTGGTGCATCACTGACATGTTCTCAGGAACTTTAATACATTTTGTACCCTCCCTATAATGATGAAGACAGCAAGAAGAAACAATATTATATTATACAGCACTTGGAGAATGATGTCATACAAACACTCAACTTGTCACACTCAACTATGCAAATAATCCAGACAATCAAGAAGAGAAAGAAGGCAGTTAGCCTGGGTTCCCAACAAGTACACTTCACTCAAGATAACAGACTGTTTTCATTAAGCAGACTCCTTATTCTAAGCCAATTTTTAGGGTTAGGTGAAATGAATATCCTGAGGTGTGATTAGACTGAGAAGGTATTAACAAAGGAGTTCTTGCATCATTTCCATCTGAGTGTAGAATGCACCATCCATGTGCCATGACTTGAAGAGTACTGGCTCCAGGGAGAATACTATCTCCATGCTCAGGATCCTATTCCTGCCCACCATGACCAACAGCACAGGGTGTATTACAGAAAAAAAAATAATATTACTGAAATACAAAAAAGGACACAAATAACAAAATGTTACTTACTGTTATTGCACACATTTATAAGCTACGCAGAGATATGATACGGACTCTGTGCACAGAAAAAAGGTTATTCCCATCTCAACACAGAATACCAAATGACAAATATGGACCTTAGAAAATGCAGAAATGCAATAAAAGATTATGTAGAAAAAAAGATAATAGCATTACAAAGGGGAGGAAAGGAGTCTGTGTGGGGCAGGCCTACAAGCCATACACCTGGGATAGTTGCCACTCAAATAAGCCTATTGCCCAGATTTGGGGCCATATGCAGGCAGTGAGGCACCTGGATCCAATGGGGTAAGTGTCATCTACAGTACATTATACAAACACTTACCTATGATGTGTAAAATGCGATACCATACTTGTGCTATGCAGTCTCTACTCATGTTGACTGGTATAATATTCAGGTCATCTTCACTGGCTGTAAACATAAAAAACATTAATATTATTTTCTTATAAAAAAGTTTGTGATAACAGAACTTGCAAGAATTTGTGGCTAAAATAAATATATGTGAAATTCAAAGTATATTGTAATTTTTTAAATATTAACCCCCAAAATTAACAAAAAATGGGGAAAATGCTGTGCCTATTTTCTATATTTTTTTGTGAATGTCTCCCATAGATGGCTCTGTTGGTGCCTGATTTGAAATGGCAGGAAAAACTTATTTTTCACTATTGCCATGAATATCGATGATGTTATTTTTACTATAAACATTATAATTATTATAATGTTTTTAACATTAGTAACAGCAAAATAAGATAACATAAAATATTTTGTAAATCAAAGAAAAGCGTAAACGGAAAGACAGGCAGTACTCGTAACTGGCTCATTGGTTGCTTAGTACAAGTGTAGCCATCTATGTGTAAAAACAATCAAACAAGTAATCTCACTGTGGGCATGGCATGGCATGCCCATCAGCAATGGGTTAACATTATGTTCTTAGAAAAATACAATAATAATATATTTTATAGGCATTTCAATTAATACAATTAAACTCTTAAAAGGGTACAGAGAGCATTTAAATGACATGCTTGGTTTTATGTTCATGTTGGATGAGCACATTTACTGCAAAAGTTTTTAATTTGTATACACATAAACCCAAAACAACTTAGCAATTTGTGTAAACACTGAAATAGATGTTAACAAATACTCTACAGAAACAAAGTCAAGTAGGTTTCATAAGAGTTAAAGCATTTTCCTCTGGATTCTGTTTCCACTTAATACTCTTTCCACTTCTACCATAAATTTTTAAAAATAAACACACAATAAAATAACAGAAACTCTGGGAATAACTTCCGTATCTGTATATTAAAATTAAAAAATTACGAAAACTTACAAATCTTTATTTGGGGAAAGGCAGGTCCATACATGAAACTGATAAGCTTTGCAGAAAGTGCAAAGTTTATTCTATTCCACTGATCAAT